TCTTTTGAGACACCAAGGAAATATTTTTCTTCATCATAAACAACTGGAGGAAAAAAAAGAAAACAATAAATAATCCTGTTTCCTGGTAATCATGAACATCAGAGGCAACTGAGCAAGTTCCCAAATGTTTTCTGAAACAAGTCAGACACACTGTCTTCCAATCACTCATGTACCTGGTTTTTCAAAGGCCCAAGGAAGCCGAGATTTTCTGCCATCCTCTGAGCTTGGCTGTCCTTTATCCCTTCAAAAATGTCAATTTGCTCCTAATAAAATAGAATCAAATAAACAAAATTCAGACAGTGAAGTGAGAAGATTTACAACCTCAAAAGAAAATGCTTAGTATTTATTTGCTAATGAGTAATTAAAGTGTGGCACCTTTCTAGAGATCTTGAGACCTTTCTAGAGATCTCCGAGTGGGGCTACTGCAGCTGCCTACAGGGTATGTTTTAATTAGCAGACCATCTATAAACAGCCCTTCCAAAAACTATATCATTCTTCAAGGTGACATGCTGACAAGATAATCCGATGCCACTTTGCACTTTTAATTACCATACAGATGGCATTGACGAATATTTAGTCAGTTAATTTTTATGACATCTTTTGGAAAGCTTCCGAAGTAAGGTTTTCTTGCCTAATATTGCTGTTAAGTTTGGGGCTTGTCATATATAGGTTAAATATTATCTTATGATTTAAACATGCTCTTGATGATGATAATTATTAATAATATCTTAGCTCTACAAACTGCCATTCTCTTAAAGACACTGAGCATGTTCATATATATTATTTAATGCATTCTCTTAACAAATGTAATGCCTTGTTTAAATAATGTTAATTTTGAAAATGGTTAGGTATTATTGATAAGCCTATGCATGAAGAATCAATTTAACTTCTGAGGTAGTTAACTTAAATATGTAATATAGGTGAAAATATTTTAAAACCAATCACTAAAATACGAGTACATTAACTAGACAAAGAAATTCACGGAACAAAATTCCCCCTTCTCGAAGGAAAACAAAATAGTTTCCTAGAAGAACTAATGAATGTTCCTGCCAGAAATTCTTAATGTGAGTTTATCACTGAGAATCCAGATTAAAAATTGGAATTATAGTTCTAACGACCTTATATTTTTTTCCTTATAGTTAAAATAGGCTAAGAAGCACTTTATACACATCACCTCAATTAATCTTCACAATTCCACAGAGCAGAAATCACCCCATTTACATTTTACCAATGTAAAAAATGAGGCTTACAGAAACTTGCTGACTATTTAGACTTGAACTCAGATGTTTTTCAAGCAAAGCTCATCTTAACATCAGTAAAAGGGACAGGATTTCAAAGACTGAAACAAATGTACAGAATCTGAACCTCAGAAAGATTCTACTTTACATCACTAGTGTGGAGAGACCTCAAGGCAGGCTCTAATTCATGTCGAGTCTCCTAGGAGAGAATTTCTGAATCATACATACTGTTAAATGGGGCAGAACTAACCAAGAGAAAGTAGAAACACCTCAGTCCTCTCCCATTGGTTAGTTCATGGGGCAGGTGGGATAGAAGGGAATCAGAGAAGAAAAGGCAGGAAGGAGGAGAAAAAAGAGGGAAAACACAAAACAAAACAAAACAAAAACCCAAAAAACAAAGCCCCTGCTGAACACCTTGATTTCTACCCAACTTTCAACTGGAAACCCAGTAAGAAAAAAGAACTCAACATCTTCCTACCTTAAATCCCAGAAATAGATTTATTTCTCCCAGCCTTAGACTAGACATTAAATATTTAACAGCTTCTACAATAACAATCAATTAACACAGGGTAGCCAGGAATTTAAGCATACCTTAAAAATAAGTTCTGGATTCGAAGCTGCCACCTCTTCGATGTCCACGCCCCCCTGGGGGCTGCCCACCAGTACTGGGCCATTGTAGGCCCGGTCCATCAAAATTGCCAAGTAGGTTTCTCTGGAAATGTCCAAGGCTTCAGCAACCATCACCTACCACATTAGTGGGAAAGTCAAATTAATTCAGCATCGAGCTGATTTCCACCTGGAAATCTATACAAACTTGCTACACATATCAAATGGCTTCATTTTCAGGCTTTTAAAACCCAGTGAGTCAGCTTCCGGAGATTTGAGAGTTCCGCTCTCATGGCACACAATGCCTATCTGCATCTCCTAACTGATCCTGTTAACTTGTGCAAGTGACAGGTATTTGGTTTGCCTCAAGGAGCCTTCCCACTCTAATCTTCTTTTTTTCTTTCCTGAGAAACTGTCACTTAAGAAAAACTCCAGGGAAGCAGCTGTTATTTTAATTGGAGATATTAACAGTACATATATATCACTGCACTGACTTTTCTCAGATTTCACTGGTAGAAAACCAAGTTTGACTGCCAAAGAAAAATTCTTTTACAGTATGTCTGATGCTTCTTCCTAGATTTGTATACTTCTCTCTCTTGGATCACTGTATTTTATTTCATTTTATACTTTCTTTTATTTAACAAACATAATACTTGCTCATTCAAAATTAATGCAAATGATACAACAGTGTACAAATGCCGAAGTGAAAGCAGCCCCTGCAGCACACCCCCACCACATAAACACCCCGTGGAGGATCTTGAGCCCACCTGGAACCTTTGTGATGATTCAAAAAGGGCACCCCTTCCTATGGGAAGATGTGGTTCCTGGCCAGGACTCTGACTGAGCAAGAGGTAAGTGGTATGGAAGGATTTCATTCCTCATTCCTGGCCTCAGCCAGGTGTCCCTCGGCTCTGCACAACTTTTCAAGTGCATGGAGCAGCTCCACCAGGAAAAGCCACTACTAACTTTTTAGTCCCTTTTCTGTGTATCTGTAAGCACTACAATAAGAGAATCATCCTATACATGAAATGCATATTATACATACTAGAATACCTTTCTTCTTTTTGTAATCTTAATACTATAACTCGGACATCTTTCCAAGGTCCTCCCTCTTCACTGTGACTACACAGGACTTACATGTCAATATTTATTTATATTTAACCATGTTCCTACTGACAGACATTTATGTAGACTTCAATTTTTCTAAAATGCTACTTTAGTGATTATTTTTGTACTTATATCTTTGCTCATTTTTTTAGTATCCCTGTAGATAAGGAACCTAGAAGTAAAATGGCTAGGTTTTAAACTCTGAATATTTACAAATTATTAAATTAATTAATTTTTAATTGACAGATATTTATGGGTACAAAGTTATATTTCAATACATGTATATAATGTGTGATGATTAAATTGGGGCAATTAGCATATTCACCATCACAAAACTGTATCATTTGTGATGAGAACATTTGAGCTCCTCTCTTGCAGCCATGTGAAAC